ATTTTTTGTTCCTTCTATTTACCGATTTTTCGGTTTTTAAATTTTTCGATTTAGTGATTCTTTTTAATTATAAATTTTTTTAAGTTGAGCTTGTCGATTTTTGGATTTTGACTTATTTCGATTTTTCGACTTTTCGATTTGTCCATTCTTTACTTTTTAGATTGTTTTAATTTTTCGATTTTAAAATTTTAGATTTTTAAAATTAAATACTTTAGTTTTTCAAATTTTTAAAATTTTAGATTTATCAATTGTACAACAATTCTGCTTTTCAGTTTTTCGAATTTTTAAATTTTAGATTTTTGCGTAAGCCCTACAATACCAATAATTAGATTTTTTAGTATTTGTTGTTTCAACTTTTCGATTTTTCAATTTTTTGGTTTTGGATTTGTGGTGTTCAGTCTTCCTTTTTTTAAAATTTTTGATTTTGCGATTTTTCTTGTCTTAAGTTTTCAATTTTATTTCGATTTCTCAATTTTTCACATTTTCAACTTCGCCACTTTTCGATATTTCAATCTTTTATTTGATGTTTCAATTTTTCAATTTCCCGATTTTGAATTTCTTGCTTACTCAGGTTTTCGATTTTTCGATTTCTCGATTTAGCGAGATTTCGACGTTTGGATTTTTTTATTACTCGATTTTTCGGTTTTTCAATTTTTCGATTTATTTAGTTTTTTTAATTATGAATTTTTTAATTTTTAACATTTCGAAATGGGATTTTCGCCTGTTTCGATTTCTCAATTTTTCAATTTTTCGACTCCTCGACTTTTCGATTTCTAAAATAAATTTTAGATTTATCAATTGTACAATAATTCTACTGTTCAGTTTTTCGGTTTTAGATTTGTGATCTTCAATTTTCTAAGTTTTTGATTTTTCGATTTTTCAATTTTTTGGTTTTTAAATTTTTCGATTTTTAGCTTTTCATTTTTTCGATTTTTTGACTCCGACTTTTCGATTTCTCGTTCTTTTGTTGTTTGGATTTCTCCATGTTTCGATTTTTCGTTTCCTACATTTTAGATTTATCAATTGTAGAATAATTCTACTTTTCAGTTTTTCGGTTTTAGATTTGTTGTCTTCAATTTTTTAAGTTTTTGATTTTTCGATTTTTCAATTTTTCGGTTTTTAAATTTTCCGATTTTTTAGTTTTTCATTTTTTCAATTTTTCGGTTACTCGATTTTGCGAGATTTCGACGTTTGGATTTTTTTATTACATCATTTTTCGATTTTCCGGTTTTTCCATTTTTCGATTTATCGAGTTTTTTTAATTACACATTTTTCAATTTTTAAATTTTCGATTTAGATTTTAGTCTACTTCGATTTCTCAATTTTTTTACTTCTCCATCTTTTGATGTTTCAATTTTTCGAGTTTTTAATTTTTCGCTTAGTCAGTTTTTCAATTTCTCAATTTTTCGGCTTCTCGATCTTATGTTTCAATTTTCCAGTTTTTCAATTTTTCGATTTTCAGTTTTTCGCTTCTCCATTTTTTGATTTTTCAGTTTTTCGATTTCTCGATTAATCGAGATATCAATGTCTGGATTTTTTGTTCCTTCTATTTACCGATTTTTCGGTTTTTAAATTTTTCGATTTAGTGATTCTTTTTAATTATAAATTTTTTTAAGTTGAGCTTGTCGATTTTTGGATTTTGACTTATTTCGATTTTTCGACTTTTCGATTTGTCCATTCTTTACTTTTTAGATTGTTTTAATTTTTCGATTTTAAAATTTTAGATTTTTCAAATTAACTACTTTAGTTTTTCGAATTTTTAAATTTTAGATTTTTGAGTAAGACCTACAATACCAATAATTAGATTTTTTAGTATTTGGTGTTTCAACTTTTCCATTTTTCAATTTTTTAGTTTTGGATTTGTGGTGTTGTTTTCCTTTTTTTAAAATTTTTGATTTTGCGATTTTTCTTATCTTAAGTTTTCAATTTTAGGTTTTGGCTTATTTCGATTTCTCAATTTTTCACTTTTTCAACTTCGCGACTTTTCGATATCTCAATATTTTATTTGATGTTTCAATTTTTCAATTTCCCGATTTTGAATTTCTTGCTTACTCAGTTTTTCGATTTTTCGATTTCTCGATTTAGCGAGATTTCGACGTTTGGATTTTTTTATTACTCGATTTTTCGGCTTTTCAATTTTTCGATTTATTTAGTTTTTCTAATTATCAATTTTTTAATTTTTAATATTTCGATATGGGATTTTCGCCCGTTTCGATTTCTCAATTTTTCAATTTTTCGACTCCTCGACTTTTCGATTTCTAAAATAAATTTTAGATTTATTAATTGTACAATAATTCTACTTTTCAGTTTTTCGGTTTTAGGCTTGTGATCTTCAATTTTCTAAGTTTTTGATTTTTCGATTTTTCAATTTATTGATTTTTAAATTTTTCGATTTTTTAGCTTTTCATATTTTCGTTTTTTCGACTCCTCGACTTTTCGATTTCTCGTTCTTTTGTTGTTTCGATTTCTCCATGTTTCGATTTTTCGTTTCCTACATTTTAGATTTATCAATTGTAGAATAATTCTACTTTTCAGTTTTTCGGTTTTAGATTTGTTGTCTTCAATTTTTTAAGTTTTCGATTTTTCGATTTTTCAATTTTTCGGTTTTTAAATTTTCCGATTTTTTAGTTTTTCATTTTTTCAATTTTTCGGTTACTCGATTTTGCGAGATTTCGACGTTTGGATTTTTTTATTACACCATTTCTCGATTTTCCCGTTTTTCCATTTTTCGATTTATCGAGTTTTTTTAATTACACATTTTTCAATTTTTATGTTTTCGATTTAGATTTTAGCCTACTTCGATTTCTCAATTTTTTGACTTCTCCATCTTTTCATGTTTCAATTTTTCGAGTTTTTAATTTTTCGCTTGGTCAGTTTTTCAATTTCTCAATTTTTCGGCTTCTCGATCTTATGTTTCAATTTTTCAGTTTTTCAATTTTTCGATTTTCAGTTTTTCGCTTCTCCATTTTTTGATTTTTCAGTTTTTCGATTTCTCGATTAATCGAGATATCAATGTCTGGATTTTTTGTTCCTTCTATTTACCGATTTTTCGGTTTTTAAATTTTTCGATTTAGTGATTCTTTTTAATTATAAATTTTTTTAAGTTGAGCTTGTCGATTTTTGGATTTTGACTTATTTCGATTTGTCGACTTTTCGATTTGTCCATTGTTTACTTTTTAGATTGTTTAATTTTTCGATTTTAAAATTTTAGATTTTTCAAATTAAATACTTTAGTTTTTCAAATTTTTAAAATTTTAGATTTATCAATTGTACAACAATTCTACTTTTCAGTTTTTCGAATTTTTAAATTTTAGATTTTTGCGTAAGACCTACAATACCAATAATTAGATTTTTTAGTGTTTGGTGTTTCAACTTCTCGATTTTTCAATTTTTTAGTTTTGGATTTGTGGTGTTCAGTCTTCCTTTTTTTTAAATTTTCATTTTACGATTTTTCTTATCTTAAGTTTTCAATTTTAGGTTTTGGCTTATTTCGATTTCTCAATTTTTCACTTTTTCAACTTCGCGACTTTTCGATATCTCAATCTTTTATTTGATGTTTCAATTTTTCAATTTCCCGATTTTGAATTTCTTGCTTACTCAGGCTTCCGATTTTTCGATTTCTCGATTTAGCAAGATTTCGACATTTGAATTTTTTTATTACTCGATTTTTCGGTTTTTCAATTTTTCGATTTATTTAGTTTTTTTAATTATCAATTTTTTAATTTTTAACATTTCGATATGGGATTTTCGCCTGTTTCGATTTCTCAATTTTTCAATTTTTCGACTCCTCGACTTTTCAATTTCTAAAATAAATTTTAGATTTATTAATTGTACAATAATTCTACTTTTCAGTTTTTCGGTTTTAGATTTGTTGTCTTCAATTTTTTAAGTTTTTGATTTTTCGAGTTTTCAATTTTTCGGTTTTTAATTTTTCCGATTTTTTAGTTTTTCATTTTTTCAATTTTTCGGTTACTCGATTTTGCGAGATTTCGACGTTTGGATTTTTTTATTACACCATTTCTCGATTTTCTGGTTTTTCCATTTTTCGATTTATCGAGTTTTTTTAATTACACATTTTTCAATTTTTAAATTTTCGATTTAGATTTTAGCCTACTGCGATTTCTCAATTTTTTGACTTCTCCATTTTTTGATTTTTCAGTTTTTCGATTTCTCGATTAATCGAGATACCAATGTCTGGATTTTTTGTTTCTTCTATTTACCGATTTTTCGGTTTTTAAATTTTTCAATTTAGTGATTCTTTTTAATTATAATTTTTTTTAATTTGAATTTGTCGATTTTGGGATTTTGACTTGTTTCGATTTTTCGATTTTTCGACTTTTCGGTTTTTCGATTCTTCAATTTTCCAGTTTTTCCAGTTTTTCAATTTTTTACATTTTAGTTTTTCGTTCCGGTTTTTCGACTTTTCGATTTTTCAATTGTTCGATGATTAAACTTTAGATTTTAAATATTTTGAGATCTCGATTTCCCGATTATCGAAATTCCGATGTTTTAGTTTTTCGGTTGTTCGATTTCTCGACATTCTATTTTGCAGTTTTCGATTTTCCAAAAAACCTTTTCCCCTTTGGATATCTACTTTAAATATATTTCATATTGTATATACTTGACGGTGTTAGGCTGTACTTCAGGGGCAAGGGAAGTTCTCTCAAAAGGAATTTTTTTTGTTTAATATTTTGCAGCAACTCCACCCCCCGAGGCAACCGTTCCCTTGAGTAATAAAAGACCACAAACATAAACTAAATACATCATCTATCTGAAATTTTTAGGTTACAATTTCCCTGGATGTGGGTCAAGGAAGACGTATTTGAAACACCCGATTAGTAAGAGCAAATTTATAGAATGTGTTAACAACTTGGCTTTTGAAAGAAATTGTCCTGAAGGCTTACATTTCATAGATCGTGATAATCCTTATGAAGGATCATGTTCAGAATAATTTAGAACTTAGACGCTTTTCACACTTGTGGTCAAACCAAACACGAAAACAAGATTCTGTTTACTTTTATTTGTCACATAATGTATTAATTAACCAATAAACTACAGTTATTAATACACATCATGTTTCCATTAATACCTCAACACAAATTTATATATACGGTTTAGAAACGAGAGCTTACTCCATGTACACTCTGACTGATATGGATAAACGCACTCATTGTAGTTAACGCTGAACCACAAATTCGGGGGACAATCAAATCTGACTTTTTTGCCCCCAGCACACTCGTAGAATTTCGTACAGTCACCAGGAACAGGACTCAGATCTCCTTCAGACTCAGGATAAGGACAATCTGGTTCCCCAGTCCAATCCGACGGATACGTAGGACCTGCAAGTACCATCATAAAATTACCGCCACTAAGTTATAGAAATTATAAAATAAAATGGTACTACCTTCAGTGGGTGTAGTCCGCCCGCACTCCGACTGGCCAGGGGGCACACACTTCTTCGCAATGGCGCTGAAATAAAGCCCAGGTGGGCAATCCATCTGGTAACTGTGCCCACGATAACACTCGATGTACACGTCACAGAGAGTGGGATGGGGCCAGTACGAAGTTTGCATGTCAGCACAGCGAGGATCGTCGGTGTCCGATGTGGTGAAATCAGGATCCGGGGTTGGCGTAGGACCTGAAACGTACCCCAGTACTGATTGCAGTACTTCTCCTAGTACCAACCTTCGCAATTCACAAACTCGGGAAAGTCGCACAATTGCCTGGATTCGTCGAAGAGCAAGTACGGCGGACACGTCTCATGAGTCAACACGGAACCACGGCACTCCCAGTACTTCTGGCAATCGTCTGTGTCCGCTATCAGTACCGTCTGTTCAGGCCGCACGTTCCAACAAAGCGGGTTTGGAGTAGTCCACGGAGGATTGACTGTTACAGATTGCTTTAAGATTAACCCTCTCATTAAGCGTGGTCTTACCGCAGTCCGACTGAACCGGTATAGTGCACATTTTCGTTCCAGAGTCAAAGTAGTACCCGTATGGGCATTCCATGAGGTACGAATTCCCGTTGAAGCATTCTACGTACCGGGAACAGTCGGCGGGATAGGGTAAGTAGTCCAGGTTGACTCCAGTACACTGGTCGGCACCTACGACAACAGCGTTACGTTGGTACTGACAACGGTACTACGTACTTAAGCATCCGGCCACCTCGGGGAAGTCGCACGCTTTGGCAGTCGGGTTGAAGTGGAGACCATCGTCACAGGTCATCAGGGTTTTGTCGCCGTTGTAGCACGCGTAGTAAAGGGAGCAGTTGACGTCGTGGGGGATGGGTACCATCTCGTTAGCTGGCAGCCCATCGCAGTCAGCGGCGGCCGTGAAAGAAACTAAAACTGAGTTTGTTTGGGTCCGAAAAGAGTACTACTGTTGCTTACCGAAGACCCCAACAAGGGTTAATAGTACCAAAGATTTGCCAAGCGCCATGATGAAGCCGCGAGGAAGACTCTTAAATTTTTTTTTTTAATGAGTTTTTTATATTCTCGGCTTATCAAAAATTCGTCATAGTGGGATTAGAGCGAGATGTAATCAAAACGGGCAATCAAAGTACTTTAGATAGTTCATTTGTTTATTCGAAATCAATTCAAGGTAAAATTTGCCTATCTGTGAATCTCGAAAGCGGCTGCCATTGAAAAGTTTGGAGATAAAGTGAATTCGTAAAACTTGAAAAGTGTTTCGCCGATTGAGATAATGATAAGAAAGTGGTACCAGATGATAAAACCGTCGTTGTTTTAATTACAATAATTTTGAATGACAATTACAATAAAGCCATAGTAACAGGTTATGGACCCAGACTGAACTTGAAAAACTAGTAAACTGTAAAACTGCTCGTGAAATTTGGCTGAAGTTAGAAACAATTTTTGAATCGAAAAATCCGATTAAAAAACAGAGATGAAACATTAAGAACTTGTGCTTCCAAAGAGTACTAGAAAAAGCAGCAAACCACTTGAAATAGTACATATTGACGTTTCTGCTCCTATCAGATAGGAATCCATCGAAAAAGCAAAATACTTCGGAACGTTTATAGACGACTTTTCAAGATGGATCGAATTTAGATTATTGAGAAACAAGAATAATGTGTCTAAAATTAATTCAAGGCTTTTAACGCACTTATGGAAACACAAATAGGTCTAAAGGTAAAATGTTTGTAATTAGATAACAGTGGGGAATTTTGCAATAACGTGTTCGATCGATATCTTAAAGAGCATGGCACAAATAGAAGAGATGCAATCAGTTATACACTTCAACAGAATGATGTAGCCGAAGGAAAAATAGAACCTCGTTGAGACAACGAGATGTATGATTGCGTATTCCGATTTACCCAACACCTGCAGGACTATGGAAAATCTCAAAATTTTTGGAGATGAAATAAAACTGGTTTAACAAGCGGTCTAGCACAATCTTTAAAAATACAGGAAGCGATCTGATCAAACCCTGACACAAAATTAGGTTTAAATCTTCCCATAGCACCAAAAATTTCTTCTTCACTTAGATTAGAAATAGTAATCAATTGAGGAGAATTATGAGTGTATCATTATCCCTTTTTAGACCAGCATTAACCTTGTAAGGTAAATGTCAGAAAAAAAATTTGCAAAACCATCAACAATTTCTTGAGGTGTATTAAACTTCATTGAAAACTGTACCTGGAAGGGACGTTCTACCTTTTTTGTTTCCAATAAAGGACCAAAATTGGTTGGGATCAGAGAGAACAGAATTTTATTTTTTAACAGTTCTCCTTTGATCAGAATAAGTCTTTTGGTTTTAATGTGATAATGTAATTCAAGGGAATACCAGGATGGAAATTTCAATTTACCAAATCTGACCAATGGAACATCTAAATCAAATAAATTTATGATTTATTTGATTTAGATAGCACCTGGTAAGATAAAACTGATTTTGGCAAATAACATACCCTGTAAGAAAAGAGAGGGTGGGTGGGTGGGGTTAACAGCTGCTAAAATAAGACCGATTTTGGCAAATGAGATATCCCCTAAGACTAGAGAGGGTGGGTGGGTGGGGTTAACAGCTGCTAAAATAAGACCGATTTTGGCAAATGAGATATCCCCTAAGAATAGAGAGGGCGGGTGGGCGGGGCTAGTACCTGCTAAGATAAAACTGATTTTGGCAAATGACATACCCTTTAAGAAAAGAGAGGGCGGGTGGGCGGGGCTAGTACCTGCTAAGATAAAACTGATTTTGGCTAATAACATACCCTTTAAGAAACGAGAGGGTGGGTGGGAGGGGCTAGCACCTCCTAAGATAAGACTGATTTTGGCAGATAACATACCCTTTAAGAAAACAGAGGGTGGGTGGGCGGGGCTAGTGCCTGGTAAAATAAGACTTATTTTGGCAAATAATATATCCTTTAAAAAAAGAGAGGGTGGGTGGGCGGGGCTAGTGCCTGCTGTGATAAAACTGATTTTGGCAAATAATATACCCTTTAAGAAATGAGAGGGTGGGTGGGAGGGGCTAGCACCTGGTAAGATAAAACTGATTTTGGCAAATAACATACCCTGTAAGAAAAGAGAGGGTGGGTGGGTGGGGTTAACAACTGCTGAAATAAGACCGATTTTGGCAAATGAGATATCCCCTAAGAATAGAGAGGACGGGTGGGCGGGGCTAGTACCCTGCTAAGATAAGAGTAATTTTGTCAAATGACATACCCTCTATGAAAAGGGAGGGTGGGTGGGTGGAGCTAGTACCTGTTAAGACGGATTTTGGCAAATGACATATTCTCTAACAAATTTAATTAAATTGTTATAAGAAAAGACTAGAGGTTCCAAAGCAGTTTCAAATTCTTTCCAAACAGGAATACCTAGAACCTCAAGATTGTTTTAAATTTTTCAAAAAAAAGCGGGGCTACAAAATTAACTAAAAAACAAGTCAGGTCAGAATTTTCCAAAAACAGAACACCAAAGTCCCCCAAAATTATTTTAAACAATTTACAAAAAAATCTCCATGGGCTGCCAAAACAATACACCATGGGTACACAAGAGTCTCCCGAATTAAAAAAAAAACACTGCGGCACTCAAGACTTTTTCAAATTCATAAAAAATAAAACACTAAAAGCTCAAAGGATTTTTTCAAGTGCATCCAGCAACAAGCATCAGATTCCTTTAAATTTATCCAAAAATAAAATAGTTACCAGTGGACCTAAAATTTTCTAACTACGAACATTTTAAAAGTAGGGTTTTGACCACACTTATTATTGCAATGATATTTTTTAGGTTTGCTAAAAAAAGAATCGTCTTTATAACAATAAAATAATGATAAGGTAAGAATTATAATAATAACATTCAAAATATTTTGTTCAATTAAGAAGAAATGAAGCCGAAAATAACTTCTGCAAATCGAAATTAATAAAAAATGTCTTTAGATAATTCTCGAAAATGCTCTGGAAAAGAAGGAAAATTTCATAGTTTATTGAAAATTTGAGATTTTGATCAAGTTGCCTACAAATTTATAAAAAAATTCTGTGATGTAGATCACGACGAGTTGATTCGAAAAGCAATAAATAGCCTGTTGATAGTATCTGAGCAAAATTTTCAAAATATGACGCATTTTCAAAATTACAATTTTAAAATCTCCCAAAAATGGCCATATTTCATTTTGGCGATTCTGGAAAAATGGTTGAAATTTTCGAAGAAATGAAGCCGAAAATAACTTTTGCAAATCTAAATCAACAAAAAATGTCTTTAGGTATTGCTGGAAAGTGCTCCGGAAAAGGTAAAAAAATTCATAGTTTATTGAAAATTTGAGATTTTGGTAAAATTGCCTACAAATTTACAAAAAATTCTGCGACGTAGATCACGATGTATTGATTCGAAAAACAACAGTCTGTTCATAGTTTCGAAGCAAGATTTTCTAAATATGCGGTTTCAAAATTACATTTTTAAAATATCCCAAAATGGCCAGATTTCATTTTGGCGATTCTGAAAAAATGATAGAAATATTCGAAGAAATGAAGCCGAAAATAACTTCTGCAACTGGAAATCAACAAAAAAATCTTTTTTGGTAATTTTCTAATGTACCCCGAAAAAAATTAAAAATTTTATACTCTGAATTATAAGCTTATTAAAAACAGAAAAGTCTAAAACGTTTTCTACAAATATAATACAGCAATTTATTCCAGCAGCTCCAGATACTAAATATTAGTTGTTGAAAATGACCAACATTTAGAATGTTTGTAGAATTCATCACAAGCTGAGTTAATATCAGTAGAGTTTTCAAGAACTGACCAGTCAAGGTTAAGTATTGCATCATATAATTCAAAAAGATTATTTTTTTTTTAAGTTATACTGTTTAAGCTTCGAACATGCAGAAAAATTTGGCAATTTTTGATTTTTCAATTTTTCGATTTTATAAGCTTACGATTTTTCGACTTCTGAATTTCCCGATTTTCAGTTTTTCGTTTTTTAAACTTTAGATTTTTCAATTTTTGGCCGTTTTATATTTCGATTTCTCAATTTTTCAACCTTTCGATAATTTAATTTTTCTAAATTTTTGATTTCTTGAGTTTCGGTTCTTCTATATTTCAATTTTTTAATTTTCGGGATTTTTAAAATTTTCGATTTTTCATCTTTTTTTTAACTTTTTGGTTTTCCAATTTTTCGATGTTACGATTTTTCTCAATGATCCGATTTTTCAATTTCTCGATTTTTAAAATTTAGATTTTCCAATTTTTATTTTTTTGATTTTTTTTAATTTTGACTAAAAATATGCAAAAATTAATAGAAAATAGAACACAATGCTGCTAAAACATAAAAATAACTGTACGTTCCCAAAAAAAAAATCGATTGCATGATTACGGTTCCACTAGTATTGCTAATTTAGGACGTTTTGTTAGTATCAAACACAATTAAAGAATTAATTCTTAGTTAAACAAAAAAATTTAAATATTCCGTAATTCAACGAGACGATAAATTTTGGGCATATAATATGATAGAGCCCCTAGAAAAAAATTATTTATACGCCTTACTTCCTGAGATAGTAGATTCTCGTTATAAAAGAAGTCACATCAGAGACATTCTAAAAAAAATTGTAAATTTAAAAAATTTTATTTGATCTCACCAAAGAAAAAAATAATATGATAAGAGGTCGCTGACTCACAAATTTTGAATACTTGAAAGATTCTAAAAGTTCTAGAGAAATTCCAAAAAGCCAAAAGATTCTAAAACTTGTTAAAATGCCAAAGATTTTTAAAATTCCAAAGACTTTAAAGAAAGCAAAAATCTTAAAGACCCAAAAAAACGTAAAGTTCGGAAAAATGCTTTCTTTAGTTTTGATAAATCCTAAAAGCACTGAACACCTTGAACACCCTAATTATTATCTTGTAAGTCTTGGAGAATGCAACGATTATTTGAGCAGCTGCTAGCCCCGCCCACCCACCTTCTCTTTTCTTAGAAGGTATGCCATTTGCCAAAGTCAGTGTTACCTTGGCAGGTATTAGCCCCGCCACCCTCTTTTCCTAGAGGATA